CAATATGGCAGGTGTATTATTTTTTATTTTTATTTTGACCATTGCTTGTAACATATGACTATACCAAATAAATTGTACCTAAATAGTACCTCAATAAAAAAAATGTATACACCTAATATGGTAGATAGTTTTCGAAAAATAAAACAATCAAAAGTCTTGCTTAGTAACGTTATTTATATTTTACTCGCTTTCGCCCGCGACTCCGTCCGCGTGAAATTAAAAAATAATATTAAACATAATTAATGCTACTGACTGACAACGTAGCTTTTTTGTTTGATAGTAATGAAATAAATAATGAAAAGTATTAGGCCGATTTCAAAAGTTTATTTTTCGAAAACTATCTACGATATTAGGTGTATACATTTTTTTTATTGAGGTACTATTTAGGTACAATTTATTTGGTATAGTCATATGTTATAAGCAATGGTCAAAATAAAAATAAAAAATAATACACCTGCCATATTGACGTTAATATGGCGGCTGTAACTTAATTTAGTTATAATTACGTTCTAGAGAAGGTACATTTGTTTTGAGCGAGGTACTAAATAGTACATTTTTAGTAAGTGCTATAATTTAATTCGCGATGGTACACCCGCCATTTTGACTCTCACCGGTGGATTCAGGGCCGCTTGCTCGTTTGCCACTTTATAGTATAAAAAAATGTAAAATTTCAGGACGCTCAAGTGGACGATGAAGAGATAGAATTCGATGAAGAACAAGAATATCCTTTAAGAGATATTTCACAGATGGCGCGCTGATCGCATTTATATTAACTATTTTAATTAAACATATGATTAAATACAATATCTTTTATTATCTACCATTTGTTTTAAACGAAATAACTCTTTCCCAGGACTCTGTGTGCATAAAATAATAACAATAGTATCCTATGTGTTCCTGACTATCTACATGTATGGCAATTTCTATAATCTATACTATTATAATAAAGCGTAAACACACACTCCTTTGTTGCCTAAGATGTCAGCAATTACAGCATGTTTTTGAATAATTCTTTTCTTAATAAAAAGCCCTACACTTACGTCACGCTTTAAGCTATATATTTTAACACCATTAAACTTAGGGGGTAAATATTTTAGATAAAAACCCTAATGTGGGAAAGAGACAAGTTGCTGCCAACATCAAGAAAGCAAGAATGCCAAGGTTTGTCATGTTATGTCATTTTGACATTTGCTATTGAGAATTTGACAAAAGTAAAAAAAAATAAAAATCTTCATAATTTCATGCGGATGAAGCTGCACGAGAACAGGTAGTAATATTATAAACATATAAATAACTATAAATATGTGTGTTTAAGAGTGGGAGAGCCCGCTTTAACGTCTTCGCAGTGCAGGGCTCTCAGCAATACCACGACCACACAGGAAACAGGCGTGAAGTGGAAGCAATTCCGCGTTTCGTCTGATGAGTGTGATGCCGGAGGCCTGATTTTAGTCCCTTTTTCGTCCCACCTTTTTCTATTAAGGAAAGGATTGAATGGGAAAGTGGATTTGACGGTGAAGAGACGCATAGGAAAGGAAAATATCTTGTTTATGTGCGTCTCCTCCTCCGTCGATTTAGTGTAGGCATGCATATGCAATTGCGGATGTCATAGGCAACGGTGGCTTCGCCAATATAGAGTATTTAGGTGGCCGCTTGCTCGTTTAAATGTTTGTTAGTTTGTCTTAAACTGAATGAATCTCGATGTTTATAACATGTAGTCTGAAACAAATAGGATATTTGTTTTTGTATATTTTAATCCCACGAGGATGGAGTCGTCGAAGGCTAAGTATATAAAACCACACCCAAATAACGCTAGTAATAGAATAGTTCATAATAATGGACATATAATACTGACCTTACCCACAGTAAGGTGCAACCACAGATATTCAAATACATAGAGTGGGCTGACACTTTTCTTACAACATTCTTTCTCTCATTGTCAGCACACATATGTGTGTCAAAACACATTTAATAAAATTTTAATGTATGTTTTTTTTGTATTACAGTTTATTTTTTATAAAAGACTAGCTGTTGCTCGTGACTAGGCTCGCGTGGTATTAAAAATATAGCCTAAATTACTCCCGAATAAATTAGCTTTCTAATGGCGAAAGAATTTTTAAAATCGGCCCAGTAGTTTTTGAGTTATTTCAATACATACAAAAATACAAATACGAATCTTTTCTCTTTATAATTTAAGTACTAGCTGTTCCCTTGCGACTTCATCCGCATGAAATTATGAAATTTTTATATTATTGTTTACATGTGTCAAATTATCAATTGCAAATGTCAAAATGACATGACGATGGCAACCTTGCTTCCTTGATGTTGGCAGCAATTTATGGTCTCTTTCCCACATTAGGTTTTTTATCCAAAATATTTACCCCCTAAGTTTAATGGCGTTAAAATACATAGCCTAAAGCGTGACGTACGTGTAGGGCTTTTTATTAAAAAAAGAACTATTCAAAAACATGCTGTAATTGCTGACATCTTAGGCAACAAAGAATTGTGTGTTTTACGCTTTATTATGATAGTATAATATAGATAGATGGAGCTTATTATTATTTAGTAAAATGTTTTATTACATGTCAATACACGAGATGGCACTAAACTTGACAACATAGTACCTTTGTAATAAATTACCGGTGGAAAAATATTTTTCACTGTCTCGTCTGTACACTGTTTGAATGTCTGCGTGTCGTATATTTAAATATATAAATAAATGTATGAATGTGTATGTAAAAGGTTTGCAAATTGATGTAATTTTCAAGGTTACGAATGTCCTTGAATTGCAACCAGTATTGAATAAAGATATGTACACACTGAAGTATGAAAAACTATTTTTAAGACAATTCACTACACGCAAAGATATTTAAGAAATATATAGACATAGGAAACAACTTACCGGTACTTTCTCTGATTTTCTTTGTATCTACCTTCTACCAGCTATCGTTCAGTCAAAGTCCAAATAGGTTCACCCGTTCCAGAGATAGCGTCCGGTCGCCATTTTGACAACGCGGTAAAAAATATGCAGGTCTATGTCAACTACCCTTCATTGAAAGTCCGGTCGGAATCGGCCCAGACGTATCAGGAACAAATGCGGATTATTCCCAACCGTCACCCAGCTCTGTCCCCACGTGAGAAAAATCATCCTTCCCACCCTTCAGTCCTACCATCACCAACAAAACGACAGATGGAACCGTTATGAAATAAAATGCGTTCCAACCGTCCCCTCGTCGAAAAACATGGGACGGATGAAACTTTTTATTCTAATCTGTTCCCACGTGGGGACAGAGCGGTGTGACGGTTTGGAATAATCCGTTGCTACGCAGTTTCCTTCGCGGATATGTTAAGTGTGTACTTGACTTTATATTATGTGACGTTTGCAAAAGATAATGCGTTTTCGTCGCGTTTTTTAAAATGACATTGAGGTAGGTCCAGAATTGAATAATTTATAGTCTGGTCTTAGGCCTGTATCTGTACCCATACAAGCCTTCTCATAGATCTGTCATTTATAGCTATGGCTAGTCTCCACTAGTCCAGAAATACAGGAGGAGCCGGAGGAGTCGGAGGCCTAATTTTAGCCCCTTTCCCTTTCCACCCTTTTCTTGAGAGGAAAGGATGGAAAGGAAAAATGGATATGACGGTGGAGGTGACGCATAGGAAGGGGAAATGTCTTTTTGTGGGTCTCCTCCTCCGTCAATGAAGGGTAGGCAGCGCTGCAATTGCGGATGTTTATGGACAGCGGTCGCTTTCCATTTCGATGGATTCAGGTAACCGAAAAAACAGCGCATATACTACCCGGCTTAGAAAGGAATCTTGCATCAGTAGATGTCTGTTATTGTGTAGATTACTACTAAGTTGATACTTTAGGTGAGAGGTTGCAAAAAGGGGTACGTAAGTTTTAAACTTTTAAACTCCACGCGGACAAAGTCGCTAGCAACAACTAGTAGTCTTATAAATATTATAAATGCGAAAGTTACGATGGATGGATGGATGTTTGTTAGCTTTTGTAGCCTAAACGGCTGAACGGATCTTCATGAAATTTGGCACAGATGTAGAGCATAGTCTGGAAGAACACACAGGCTACTTTTTATCCCGGGAATAGTTACGGTTCCCGTGGGAATCATTAATTTAGTTTTTTAATGTTTACTTAATCATTCTGCAGCGGTTCAACATATCTTATTGAAATTTGGCACAGATGTAAAACAAAGTCTGGAGTACACATGGAATAAGGTCCATCCCCGAGAAATGTCCGATTCCCGGGATACGTAGCTTTTTGTAATTTATATAGTTCGTATGTTTTCTAATACCACGCGGACTAAGTCGCTGGCAACAGATAGTAAACATAAATTACTTAAAGCTTCTACAATTGAAAGCCACAAATGAATGCGGAAATTATAACAGTCATGTGTCAGGACCACATATCTGAGTACAAGCGTCATATGAAAATGTTTATGCAGCGAAAACCCGAGGTTATAAAAAAACATCAACGGAAACACTTCCGACAAATGTTCATGAATTAAAGAAAACATCACCTTTCTGACCTCTGGGTTGAATTTGATTTTGCACGTCAGTTCTGTACGGATTTAAAAGACAAATTTTTATAACATAAGGTGGCAAACGAGCAAGCGGCTATCTGAATCCGCCAAAATAGCGAAGCTACCGCCGCCCATAGACAATCGCAATTGCAGATGCGTTGCTTACCGTTATTCGACGGAGGAGACGCACATAAAGAGGACATTTCCGCTTCCTATGCATCTCCTCCTCCGCCAAATACACTTCCCGTTCCCATCCTCTCCTTATAAGAAAACAGTGGTAAAGAGAAAGGGATTTAAATTAGGCCTCAGGCACCACACTCATCAGACGAAACACGGAATTGCTTCCATTTCACGCTTGTCTTCTGTGTGGTCGTGGTATTACACCGAGCGAGCCGGCCCTGTAGTGCTAAGATGTTAAAGCGGACACTACCACTGTTTACTACAACCAACTTAGAGCGCGCGCACCTTTGAAACTATAGCACACCAAGCTTTCGCCCGCGACACCGTCCGCATAGAATTAAAACAAAACAAAGTAGTTAAGTATCCTAACATTTCTTCAAGAATATCCTCTACATCTACATCTGTGCCAATTTTCAACGAGATCCAATTACCGGTTTAGGATACAAACTCTAACAAACATCCATTTTAACTTTCACATTTATGACAGTAGTAAGACAAGCTTTTGTCCGCGAGTCTGTCCGAGTGGAATTAAAAAAAATAACTATGTATATAATATGTCACCGTTAATTACATTTTATTTAATACGAGCTGTTGCCCGCGACTTCGTCTGCGTGGTATTAGAAAACATATGAACTATATAAATTACAAAAAACTACGTATCCCTCGGGAACCGGACATATCTCGGGCATGAAGCTTATCCCATGTGTACTCCAGACTTTGTTTTATATCTGTGCCAAATTGCAATAAGATATGTTGAACCGTTCCAGAATGATCGAGTAAACATTAAAAAACTAAATTAATGAATCCCACGGGAACCGTAACTATTCCCGGGATAAAAAGTAGCCTATGTGTTCTTCCCGAATATGCTCTAAACCTGTGCCAAATTTCATGGAGATCCGTTCAGCCGTTTAGACTACAAACGCTAACAAACATCCATCCATCCATCCATCCATCTATCCATCCATCCATCTACACTTTCGCATTTATAATATTAGTAAGATAATGTATACACCTGAGATAATGGTTTCGCACTAACGAGAGGGTTTTCTTCGTCCGCACCAGAAGTACCGCGTCAGGCTGATATCGACATGTTACGCAGTGTGTCAAACTGTTTTTATGCAATTGGCAATTATTTTTTTAATATAAAGTGGCAAACGAGCAAGCCACCTGAAACCGACGAAATGAAAAGCGACCGCTGCCCATAGACAACCGCAATTGTAGATGCGTTTGCCTACTCTTAAACGGAGGAGACGCACATAAAGGGGATATTTCTCCTTCCTATGCGTTTCCTCCACCGTCAAATCGGCTTTTCTCTCCCATCCTGACCTCTTAAGAAAAGGGTGAAAAGGGAAAGGGATTAAATTTAGGCCACCGGCACCACACTCATCATACGAAACGCGGAATTACTCCCACTTCACGCCTGTCTTCCTGTCTTCTATGTGGTCGTGGTATTGCACAGGGCGAGCCAATAGAAAGCGGGCTCTACCAATTTCTGACCTTTTAACCTCCCCTTCTGCAGAGGTGAAGCGCTTCGCCTCCGCATCCGCTTCCGTTAAAATGGCCTCCGTTACAACCCTAGTACACAGTGATATTTCTACGTAGGGTTTTCTACATTTTTGGCATAACAATTGACAATTGAAAGTATAGTAACGTTTATGTAATGAATCTACATTGACTGACACCGACTTCAAAGTAATAATAATTGTACAATATAGACATAACAGTTACAATAAGGGAGGTTTACATGTTCAAGGAATTATTTCGTTACTTTTTAGTGTATTGTATTTTTTGAGAATATGTCTTTTTTAGTGTATTTTGTTTATTAATACACCTTTGACTAAACTATCAACTGTTTGTGCGATTGTCGATTGTTTCGGCCTCAACTGTTTTGTTAGACAACTTAACATCGAGTATAGTGTGTCTAAATAATTTAGATTAGTTTGACAATTCATTTCAAATTCAGTGGGGATGGGTTGTGTAAAATCATGAATCTTATCGATATTCGATTTTTATTCTTATAGAATTTAGAATCGATAGATTTAATAATATAACATATGAATTAAAAAAACACTGTTTTCTCAAATTAATAATGACCATAACAAATAATGAGAGTAAATAAATGTTTATTACTACTACAGCCGTACGTAATCGAATTGGATTTCGCTATTATTTCTGTCATCGCTAAATTCTCTACACTATAATCAATAATAGAATTATCATCTGAATTAGTTAATAAGAAAATAATAATTTTACTTGAGTTCGATAATTATTTAAAACGAATATCGATAGTTCAAAATTGTTTGCTATGCGTGTTTGTTTCGTCACTACGATACCTATCTATTAAGTATGGCATTTGCCTTCATACATATTGAATTCGATACTTCATATGCGTCTTTATTAAACTAATCTATCTTATTTAGACAAATTATAATTATATATAATATATTATGCTATAGGTGTGCGCGCTGTAAATGATTTTGACGTATGAGGGGTCAAAGAGTAAAAGAAAAGACGAAATGTCATTTGCAAAAACTATAATTTATACTCTAATGTACTCTCTACTAATCACAATGATTCTATTTACTAACTACTTATAAAAATATATGATTATATAAAATAAATGCTACAAAATGGATTTTACATACAGAACTTTGATATAGTTTTAAAAAAATAACATCCAAAGATTACAATAAAATTACAAATACATTTTATATAGCGTTGTAAATTGCAAAAAAGTTTGTTACCTTACGACGTTTTTTTTTCTTAATTTTAAAAACAAAACAAATATATATCAAACATTAATTATACGAAAAATAGTATTGTGTTAATTCTTTTTAACAGAATAATTGATTTAAAAAAAAAGTAATTAAAGAACGAAAATATATATTAAAACAGATAAAATTACAATCTTTGTATAAATGCTTTTAAATGCTTCAGTTACATCTAGATTATACAAATATTTTAAGATATTTTTTAATCTGTGTGTTTACTTTTCATAGATAAAAAATGATCCAATTTACTCTATTACTAATTTTAAGGCCATGCCAGCATGGGAATAAGAACAGTATATAAAACTACCTGTTGCACGCGATTTCGCCCACGTTATTAATAAAAATATAACCTAAGTTATTTAGTGATAACGTAGCTTTTTAATGGTGTAAGAATTTTTAAAATCGGTCCAGTAGTTTTTAAGTTATTTTAGTACATACAAAAATATAAAAATACATATCTTTCTTCTTTTATCATATAGTATAATAGATTAATTCGATATCCTCTAAACAAAAAGCAGTCATGTAAAATGTATAAATTATTTCTTCCAATCATAACCTGAATGTTGCCAGCGTTGAAACTGTTAAAATTATCGTTCATAGCGATCAATAAATAATATTTTGAGCGTTACTCTATGGCCATACGGTTATTATCTGTGCTTTTGACAATTTAAAAAATACAATTCCCATAAAAATAACAATTTAAAAGAAATGATTTTATACCCTAATTTTAAACAATAAAAAACTACTAAATTGACTTCAAATGCACAAAGGTGGGTTACAAATGACATAAAAACAGAATCCGTATGGCCACCTAGAGTGAATATCTTCAAACAGTCCTACTAACGTAACGACCAGATAGGCATAAACTCAGCACAAACTCCTTGTCTCGTGTCTGCTCAGGTCTTTCATATTCTGTCACAGAACAGCGTTTCTAATAGACCGGATAAATCAATGCAAACCTAATGCTTTCTCGGCAAGAGATATAAATTAAACGTATCCTTTGGTAACGCGACGCACGCTGGTCTTTGTCTTAGGTCTTTTATGTTTTCTGCTGCGACGTCAAATTCTTGTATAATATTAGCAAACATAACAAAACTCATCGTCGTGACTAAAGTTTGTCCAATGCAGGTTCGTTTTCCGATACTAAAAGGTAAGAAATGCGGTATATTCTTCTTCAGAGTGTAGTGTTCTTTCTCATTTTCTGATATCTCATTTATCGGAGATCTCTCGCTGTCAGATTCCATCCCAGAATCGCACTGTGAGTTACGTCTCACACGCATTTTTATGCGTTCCAAAAATCTACTAGGATCAAATTTCTCAGGTTCATTCCAATATTTCTCAGATTTATTTAATTCGTAATTATTTATGAAGACAACTGTACCTTTTTCAACACCATAACCAGCGATAACAGCAGGTTCAGTCGCTACATGAGGAACTATCGGTGACGACGCGTATCGTAGACATTCCAGTATCGTCGCTTCAGTATACGGTAGGTTGCTTCTATCAGAAAGTGTTACAGCTCGTTTACCTTTTGTTACTCCATCAATTTCCGCTTTAATTTTCTTCCCAACATCAGCATCTCTAGCAACAGCAGCTAAACACAACATAACAAGATTACCAACAGAAGAATGACCTCCTAAGAAATCTTCTAACATGAAAATGATCGTGTTCCTATCAACATTCGGGTCATCGTTCAACACTCTTAGTAAACCATCAAGGAAATCCTTTTCAGGTACCTCAGTGTCCATATTCGTTTCTCTCATCTCGACAATCCTCGAAAGTATAAAGGAACGGATATCTTGCGACCAATTAGATAGTTTATCCATATGTTTCTTGTAGAACGGAGCGAGCCATGGCAGGAAATCGACAGCGTAACCTTGGTTAATCTCCCAAAATATTTCATCGAAATGATCGACGACTTTTTTGAATTCTTCATCTGTTTCAGTATCGAATCTTATGTTGCACATGTAATTTGTGAACATATTCATAGCAGTCATCATTAATAATGGTTTCAAATTAATGCTGCTCTCTGTTGTTCTGGTGATTTGTTTAAGTGTCTGTAATAATTCTATAGATTCGAATGCAGCAACGGAACCGATGCGTGAGAAGTTGTCTGTGTGTTGTTTTGGACCGCAATGACGACGGGCGAGGTTACGTCTACGGAGTTGAAGATTTGACCAATCGCAGAGAGCTAATGCTGTAGACAAAGAGAGAGATAGATTAATAATTTAACGTAATTCGAATTTCAAACTTAATCCATAATCAAATTAAATTTTATAATTTGTCTAAATAAGATAGATTAGTTTGACAATTCATCTGACAATTTAGTAGGAATGGTTGTATAAAGTCTCCCCTTATTAGTTAACAACAATAATTTTAGTTAAATTCGATAAATTTTCTTTAAACCGAATATCGATAGTTCATAATTGTTCGCTGTGTGTTTCGTCACTACGATACCTGTCTATTAAGTACAATTGACTTCATACAAATTGAATTCAAAACTTCATATGCGTCATTTATCAAACTACTCTATCTTATTTAGACAAACTAAAAGGATTACGAGTATAGCAGTTGGTAATTTAGTTTGTTTATAAGCGTCATATATTGACCAATGATAGAGCGGCGATTGCACGGAATGTCGCCATTATGATAAATTCGAAATTCAATTTCGAAAAATATCAGCATGTACTTTTGTTTTTTCAACATGGGAAAATTCGAAAGAAGGTGGGAATTTTATAATTACTGGTAACTAAGAATTACAAGGCCCTCTGTCAATGCAAAAAATTACATCCTTTTAGATCTATATTCTAGTTTTAAAACTGTGTCAAAAACGTTAATCTATTCGATAATAATTAGATTAGAAGCAAAATATTCTAGTTCAGTAAACAAATAAACAAGCTTATTAAATCTATGGCGTTAACATATTGAGTATAGCAACACTGAACGTCAATGCAAAAAGTCTACCGTCTATGCCAGTGGTTCCTAAACTTTTTCTTATAAACCCGAATCAAAATTTCTTTAATTAATCAACAATTTTTGCTTCCGGAATTTAACTAAAGGTCTGTCCCGCCACTGACTGATAAAGGCTTAGATAGCTTAAAAATGACGACAATAACAAAATCCGATTTTTATCAGACAATTTCGTTAGTCAGGCCCTTAATCTTTTTAATCGTTTGCATGCGCAAACATTTGACTAAACTATCGCACAACTTTTTAGTCTCCCTTTGATTCCTATAAGCTTATATGAGCGCACACTACTCGATTTTTAGCTGTGCAACTAAACAGTTGAATTGGCTGCGAAACAATCGACAATCGCACAACAGCGTGATAGTCAGTCAGGTGTTCGCCTGCTATTACAAGCAAACTAGAGGTTTCATGAGGAAACATGTGGGCACTTTTCAGACGTATAACTAACTAGTTGTTGCCCGCAAGTTTGTACGCGCAATACACAAAAGTAGCCTATAATATGCCCATCTATGTCAGCTACCCCTCAGTTAAAGTCCGGTCGGAATCGGCCCAGAGTTTTCGGAGATTACCCGGAACAAATACGGCTTGCGGACAGACAGATAATTTTTAAATGCGATTTTCGTTATCAGCAATGCAAGTACATCATCTACCGCTTGGAATTTTTCTTTTCATATTACAAACAGAAACTTCAATTTTATCTATACTATTATAATAAAGAGTAACAAACACTTCTTTGTTGCGTAAGATGTCAGCAATTACAGCATATTTTTGAATAAATCTTTCTTTAATAAAAAGCCCCACACTTACGTCATGCTTTAGGCTATATATTTTCACGCCATTAAACTCAGAGGTAAATATTTTTGATAAAAACCCTAATGTGGGAAAGAGACCATAAGTTGCTGCATCAAGGAAGCAAGATTGCCAAGGTTTATCATGACATGTCATTTTGACTTTTGCAATTGAAAATTTGAAAAAAGTCGCACGGGGACTGCTAGTTTTATTATATGTATAGATATAAATAAATTATACCTTGTTGGGTATCCTGTGGGTCTACACTTTGAGGATAACTGGACTATGTTTGTAGCAAAAAACAAGAAATCACGCTCGGATAATTTAAACGTGATGCAACATGAATAAGAAGCGAATAAAATTGAAAATGCATCGTGTAATGATGCGGTGAGGTAATCAGTGCGTGAAGGAAAAAGTATGTAAGTACACACCAGACGAGGGAAATGTTACTTTTGTTTATAACTTAATTATAGATAGCTGTTCCCGTGCGGCTTCATCCGCGTGATATTATGAAAATTTTATTTTATTGTTTACATTTGTCAAATTATCAATAGCAAATGTGAAAATGACATGACATTACAAACCTTAGCAATCTTGCTTTCTTGACGTTGGCAGCAACTTATGGTCTCTTTCCCACATTAGGGTTTTTATCCAAAATATTTACTCCCTAAGTTTAATGTCGCGAAAATATATAGCCTAAAGCGTGACGTAAGTGTAGGGCTTTTTATTAAAAAAAGAATTATTCAAAAATATATTGTAATAGCTGACATTTTAGGCAACAAAGAAGTGTGTGTTTACGCTTTATTATAATAGTATAGATCATAGTCGATTAAATACTATTTGGAGGAATCATCTTGATAACCTAGACTATAAATGACGCATAGATTAAGGCGGGAATTTGAAATGTCAAATGTTATATTATTGTTTTTAAATTACTTTTTTTAAGTTCGATGAAACTGTCAAGTGTTGTGCGATAGTCGAATGTTTCGTAGCCAATTCAACTGTTTAGTTGCACAACTAAATATCGAGTAGAGTGCATCATATAAGCTCATAGGAATCAAAGTACTAAACAGTTGTGCGACAGTTTAGTCAAAGATGTGCGCTCTAACATAGACAACAAATGACGCATATTTTGGCGGGAATTTGAAATGTCAAATGGAATATTATAATTAGTTACTAGCTGTTGCGTTGCCCTAGACTTCGTCCGCGTGGTATTAGAAAACATACGAACTATATAAATAACAAAAAGCTACGTCCCATGTGTACTCCAGACTTTGTTTTATATATGTGCCAAATTTCAATAAGATATGTTGAACCGTTGCAGAATGATCGAGTAAACATTAAAAAACTGAATTAATGCATCCCACGGGAACCGTAACTATTCCCGGGGTAGAAAGTAGCCTATGTGTTCTTCCAGACTATGCTCTAAACCTGTGCCAGATTTCATTGAGATCCGTTCAGCCGTTTAGACTACAAACGCTAACATCCATCGTAACTTTCGCATTTATAATATTAAATAAGAAATAATAAGATTTATAAGCTTGTAATAGTATAATAGTATTATTTTCTATTATAAATATACATATTTAATACCGACAGAATATTCTAACCTAGATTTGATATGAAAATGATTGTAAAAAAAATTAATTAAAACCTAACAATGACACGCATAATATTCCTGCGTGTTAAAAAAATCTATGTCAAACAAAATACCTCGTGGTAAGTATTGTATATCGCTGACAAAGTAAATAGGAAGAAGGTAACACGAACTAAATATCAAATTACTGCAATTAGAACATAAATGTCGGCTACTAGCTGATCCCTGCGACTTCGTTCGCGTTTTATTATAAGTATGTAAACTTTTCGATTAATATTTTTTTTATTAAAACACCATATTATATAGAATACAACAGGTCAGGTTATCTGTTTAGTACAGATCTGTTCAGTAATTCTGGAGTGAGTTAGTAAGAAATTGGAAGGTAATTATTGTAAGAAAACTGTTAAAGATAGATACATGCTACAGAGGACTTTTTTGTAGAACTTTTTGAGATCTACAATACTTTCATACATCATTTTTATATACCTCTAACGGTTTAGGCAGCGTAAGCCGAGAAATGTTAAAGTTTGGTAATTTTTTGACGCCGGCGTCCAGAAACACGTTGTTTATTAATAGTTCCTAAACATTAGTAATAATAAAATATAGCCTATGTTACTCACAAATAAATTACCTTTCTAACGGTGAAAGAATTTTTAAAATCGGCCCAGTAGTTTTTGAGTTATTTCAATACATACAAAAATACAAATCTTTCCTCTATAGATTAGAAGTATAATTTGTCAAGGTTAAAATATGCTGATGTTATTTAGGCATAGTTTTGTTACCTAGTATTAAATTACGAGAAATGTCGCCTGATGCAATATTAAAGGCGCCAGTGCGTTTTTATAATATCGGTGCATCAGTGTTAAATTACGTTGTACCAAGTCATAAGCGATAGCGGAAATCTCAATGAACGGAATTCAATAGTATTTAGACATTTTAGTTACATTTCACTGACAGATATTATTTACTGTCAAAAAATTACTTATTTTGGACAATTTTATTGTTTAAAATAATGACTAGATGTCTTTAAATAATGGAATATAAGTTTACAAAGTTTGTTAAGCTACATACATCTGACAGTTAAAGTTTTGCCACACGCAGTTTTAACTGAAGATCGACTCTTCTTTACTAATATTATAAAGTGGAAAGATTTGTATTTTTATATGTATTAAAATAATTCAAAAACTACTAGGCAGATTTAAAAAATTCTTTTACCGTTGGAAAGGTAATTTATCTGTGAGTAACATAGGCTATATATTTGTTTTTTAAAGCACTCAAAGTCGCGAGCTAAAACTAGTTAGTTATAAGAGCTTTATAGTTAGCTTTATAGCTTTATAGTTTTTCATTTCCATTGACTTTAAGTACAATAATAGAAGTACGCTATTAAACCTGGGGATTAATAAATTGGATAAAACCGAATGTGGGAAAGGGACCATAAGCTACAAGTTGCCAACATCAAGGAAGTAAAATTGCCATCGATTGTCATCATATCATGTCATTTTGCATATGCAATTGATAATTTAAGAAATGTAAACAAAATAATAAAATTGGATTAGTTTCATGCGGGTGAAGCCGCACGGTAACAGCTAGTTTTAAATATAAATAAGAAAGAGTACATTGTAGAAGTCACTATTAACGTGTTTTTCGGGATGATGGAAACCTATTGCATCACATAGGAATAAGAGCAGGGTGAAGTTAATGTGAAGAATATTTTAAATCCGCTCCGCTTATGAGTTAGACCAAACTTGCTAACTTGATGTTTCGTTTAGGTTTACAAGGGTATCCTAAGTTATTAGGTCACTAACAGGATGTATGTCACTGGATTACGAGTAGTCTAGATTTTAAAACATATATATGGATTGTAACGTTATATTAATGTACATTCATGTTAATTTATTTTTAGGTTATGTTCAATAAAGTGCATTGAAAAGATATCCGATGAAAATATACTAAAAAAACGGCGAAATAATCAAAGGGAATTCTTATAGATTGACAGTTTTTTTAATTAGTAAAGCACTATTTAAAACATATTTCCGTAATACTTCGTATATTTTAAGGTTAGGAAAGAAATTTCCTATGAACTTGATAGAGTATTTTTTTATCTATACCATAACATGCATAGATAATATCAAAGACGAAGCGGGGTGTTGTATTCAGCCAGCTTTATTGCGGACTTGGGCCCTGTGGCATGTGCCTTGTGTCTTGGAATTAAAAAAATAAAACGTCACTCGAAATTGTCGGTGAACAATTGTAGTGAATTTTTTTTAAAATATAAGACAATCGATGTTTTTTAAATAGTTTTTATGACTTTTTTGTAAATTTTAGTGATTAAATAAATGTGATTTTTATAATGGTAAGTGATATTTTATTAATTATGCCAAGTTTTTTAATAGAATTTTATTGCGTTGCAAGACTTTTAAAAACAATATGCTTTCATTTTATTTATAGTTTTTATTTGATAATTGCTTTTGCCCGCGACTCCGTGTGGAATTTAAATATTAGTATACGTGTTTCTCAAGACTTTCCTCTACATCTATACCAAATTTCATCGAGATAGGTCCAGCAGTTTAGGCTACGAACTCTAACAAAAATTGATCCATCTAAACTTTTGCATTTATGACAAATAAGAAGACTAAAATTGTTTTATTTGTAAAATTATAGAATATATAATATTTTTAAATCAATTGTAACGTAATTTAAATAAATTGCTTGCTTATCTAACAATTGTTGAAAAGTCTAATAAAAAAGATTGTCGCGTGAAAATTAAAAAAAAATCTCACGTTAATTGTTGATTAATTTGACATTTCAAATCTGGCAGAATTTGTAGATGTTAGAAAAACGTAATGAAAAAGATACTTACAATTATTTCGATCACCGGCAAACAATTTATGGAACCGCAAGAAGTCTGGTCTGCCTCCGAAGAATTTTCCATTCTGGTTCAACACTTCCTTGATCAGTTCCAGATTATTTACAACCAGACACTGGCTATTCCCTAGTTTAATTCCGAATATTCCTCCATATTTCTTCGCTAGGTCAGTAAACGCTTGGAAAGGCGATTCTCTCTTCCCTAATAGATGCATACTGCCAATCACAGGCAAGGGTATTGGTCCCGGTGCTTTCTTAAATCCTGTCCTTTTTCCTTTCAACGGAATATTTTTCCGTGTAAAAAATTTATAAGCCACTAAGGCGATTAAAATGAATAAAAGCACACTCATGATGGTTATTTTTATTTTCCTAAAAAAGAAATTTATTATAGAGTGGCCACACTTTTGACAGGAGTTTAGGCGGGAACCATGAGCGTTCGCCGGCCGGCACTGCGTCAGATGGGATCGGATCAGCCATTTTATACAGTCGCCATTTGCATTTTAGGACTGCGCTCCGTTTTTTATTTATACACGGTTATGGCTAAATGAACCTTATGGTATTGCGATAAGGATTATACGTGTGTAATAAATAATATTGTTGTAACGATTAGAATATTTTGGTTGTCGAAGTTGTTTTCGATTTGAAAAAAACTTATACGAAATGAATAAAAACTAACTATAACAATAATTATTTATTAATAACTAGCTTTCGCCCGCGACTCCGTCCGCGTGGAATAAAAAAACAAAGCCTATGTGTTCTTCCAGACTATCCTCCACATAAGTCAAATTTCATCGAGATCCGTTCAGCAGTTTAGGCTACAAACTCTAACAAACATCCATCCATCTAAACTTTCGCATTTATAATATTACTAGCTGTTCCCGTGACCGTGCGACTTCATTCGCATGAAATTATGAAAATTGTTTTATTGATTACATTTGTCAAATTCAATTGCAAATGTCAAAATGACATGACATGACAAACCTTAGCAATCTTTCTTTCTTGATGTTGGCAGCAACTTATGGTCTCTTTCCCACATTAGGGTTTTTTCCGAAATATTTACCCCCTAAGTTTAATGGCTTCAAATATATAACCTAAAGCGTGACGTAAGTGTAGAGCTTTTTATTAAAATAAAATATTTAAAAATATGGTTTAATTGCTGACATTTTAGGCAACAAAGAAGTGTGTGTTTACGCTTTATTATAATAGTATACATATGATTAGTATGATAGTTTTGATGTTAACTATTTAGATTCTTAGGAAATTCAAACCTTGAACTATAAAAAAATCCTGAAACTTCGAGAATAATGTGGGTTTTTCGATACGGAAAAATTAAGATAAACTTATTGATGTTCAAAGGAGATCACTTCCTTGTAATATATTGTTTTGATTAATAGTTACGGGAATATTTACGCCTATTGTAAAATGCTTTGAAATGTAATTTGTCTAAATAAGATAGATTAGTTTGATAAATGACGCATGAAGTATCGAATTCAATTTGTATGAAGGCAAATGCCGTACTTAATAGACAGATATCGTAGTGACGAAACACGCAGCGAACAATTATGAACTATCGATATTCGGTTTAAATAATTATCGAACTCAACTAAAATTATTATTTTCTTAACTAATTTAGAGGACAATTCTAGTATTGATTATAATGTAAAGAATTTATCGATGACAGAAATAATAGCGAAATCCAATTCGATTACGTACGGCTGTAGTAGTAATAAACATTTATTTACTCTTATTATTTGTTATGGTCATTATTAATTTGAAAAAACAGTGTTTTTCTTTTATTTCATATGTTACAACTATAAATCTATTGATTCCAACTTCTAAAAGAATAAAAATCGAAAATCGATAAGATTCATGATTTTACACAACCCATCCCTATTAAATTTGAAATGAATTGTCAAACTAATCTAAATTATTTAGACACACTATAACAACTGACTGCGATTGTCGATTGTTTTGCAGCTAACCAACTGTTTAGTTGCACAAGTAAAAATCGAGTGTGTTCCATATGTTTTTAACAGTGGTAGAGCCCGCTTTAACATCTTCGCACTGTAGGGCCAGCTCGCCCGGCAATACCACGACCACACAGAAAACAGGCGTAAAGTAGAAGCATTCCCGCGTTTCCTCTGATGAGTGTGATGCCGGAGGCCTAGTTTTAGTCACTTTCCCTTTCCACCCTTTTCTTAAGAGGGAAGGATGGGAAGGAATAGTGGATTTAACGGTGGAGACACATAAGAAAATGTCCTCTTTATGTGCGTCTCTTCCGTCAATTAAGGGTAGGCAGCGCTGCAATTGCGGATGTTTATGTGCAGCGGTCGCTTTCCATTTCAGTGGACTCAGGCCGCATGCTCGTTTGCCACCTTATATTATAAAAAAAAAAATCAGTTGTCAAGTTTAGTGCCGTCTCGTGTATTGACATGGAATAGAACATTTTACAATGTTATAAGCTCCATCTCTTATATGATAAATGCGAAAGTTTAGATGGATGTTTGTTAGTTTGTAGCCTAAACTGCTGAACGGATCTCGATGAAATTTGCCATAGATGTGTAGGATAGTCTGGAAAAAGAAGGTTACTTACTTTTTTTAATTTCACGCGTACGGAGTCGCGGGCAACAGCTAGTAATAACACAAAATCTGTTTGTCCTCTGTGGTATTTTCAAATCAATCCGACTTATGGTCCTTAAAGAAGCGAGCCTACAATTTCCTCAAAGGCAACGCATCTGTAGTTCCTCTGGTGTTGCAGATGTCCATGGGCGTCGTTGACCACCTCTGTGTTCTCGCCGCTCGTTTGCCTCCTTTTAGTATAAAAAAAACATTTAAATATTATTTAATGACATCTATTGGTAATTAATTTAAATATATTTATTGGTTTTAGGGATTTATCAATAGATAGCGTTAGTTAAGGGACAAAATGTTTCAAGTAAAGTGTCAAATATGCCTTCAGTTCCATCCTGTCGGTTCAAACCAATATATTCACGTACAAAAACAACAAAGAATATAACGCTTACGATCTCCTACGTCAGAGGAATACATTACCGAGGACGTAATGTATAAATAACTATAATCAACATTTTAAAAAGTTTTTACCCAAAAAAGATATGAAAATTTACAACGGACGTGTTCGGTAAACGTTTTGATATAAAAAAATTACGAGCTGAATAAAGAAAAGTAATCTACGAGCTATGGATTATAATCTGCATCTATGCTAAACAACGGTAAATTTAATCATTTTAGAGATAGGTAACATCTATCCACCCAAAACTTCCTCATCTATATAAAAATACTAATATTATGAATGCGAAAGTTTAGATGGATGTTTGTTAGTTTGTAACCTAAACGGTTCAACAGATCACAATGAAATTTGGCATAGACGTAGAGGATAATCAGGAAGCACACGTAGACAACTCATTTTTTTATTCCTCGCAGACGGAGTCGCGGGCGAAAGCTAGTATACTAATATAATAAAAAGGAAAGATTTGTATTTTTGTATCAATATCATAATAATATTCAAAAGGCGGTTATTTTAGAAACCGCACGAATAGTGACGAGGTTCCTGTCTCTGCCCTCACCACTGGTTGCTTGTCATCGGATTCCGCAGCCGATGGACTTCTATTTTTTTATATAATATGTTTTATTTTGTTATTTTTTTTTTTAAAATCATGTGAAATATATTATATGTAAAAATAAGATATATGAAATTATTTATGTGAAAGTTTAGATGGATGGATGGATGAATGTTTGTAGTCTAAACTGCAGAACGGACCTCAATAAAATTTATTTTACTCATCCTCCAGGATACTCTGGAAGAATACATAGTGTTGAGTGCAAAATACAACCTCTTTGGCTGACAAGCAGTATGTATACAGCCAAAGAGGTTACATACTGGCCACCAAGGCATTTATCGTTGTTTTAAAGAAAATATATAAAAGAAGAAGTCAAGATGTGATCGACATAGTTTTGAGTTTTGCAGTTTTGTATATTTTTTGTGTAAATAAGTTTTTAAATATAGATATGTTAGTATAAAAAAGTGTTTTGTATTTTTCGCTGCCGCGCTGTCGGTAACAAGTTAAACACATAGCACAAAGCACCAGTGATGATGGAATCATAAATATTATCGAATGGTTAAAGCTGGGAAACGAATGTTTTGTCTTGTCGCCCTGGGCGGTCGTCTCACGTCTTCCCTAACGCCGGTACAATATTTACCGTAACTTGTTCCGTTATCCGTTTGGCATACGAAAATTAACAATTTGGGCCATTTGCAAATTCGATATCCAATTTCGAAGAAATCGTTTCGAAGTGAGGAAAATGTATACATTTTCCTTGCAATTTTTTACATGTCAATAGTCAAATGTTTCTCGTTTATAATATTAGTGTAAAATTTTAATAACTAACTGATACTGGCGACTTCGTCTGTGTGGTATTTTAGAATAATTTAAAAGTCTATTATACTCTGTGGTAACGTATCTCTTTAATGGTGAAAGAATTTTCAAAATCGGTCCTGTAGTTTTTGGGTCCATTACATACAAAATACAAATCTTTCTTCTTATTGTATTAGTATAGACTATCTTTCGCCCGCGAATACGTCCGCGTGGAATTCAAAAAAACAAAAATAATTAGCCTATGTGTTCTTCCAGATTATCCTCTACATCTATGCATAATTTCATCAAGATCTATTCAGCAGTTTAGGCTACAAACTCTAACAAACATCCATCTATCTAAATTTTCGCATTTATAATATTAGTAAGATAATATAGAGTACGAGCTGTTGCCCGCGACTTCGTACGCGTGGTATTAGAAAACATACAAACTATATAAATAACAAAAAGCTAAGTATCCCTCGGGAACCGGACATTTCTCGGAGATGAAGCTTATCCCATGTGTACTCCAGACTTTTTTTTTATATCTGTGCCAAATTTCAATAACATAAAACTAAATTAATGAATCCCACGGGAACCGTAACTATTCCAGGGATAAAAAGTAGCCTATGTGTTCTTCCAGACTATGCTCTAAGCCTGTGCCAAATTTCATGGAGATCCGTTCAGCCGTTTAGGCTACAAACGCTAACAAACATCCATCCATCTATCCATCCATCCATCTAAACTTTCGCATTTATAATATTAGTAAGATAGTTTCAACATGATTTTGATGTCCTAATACTAAAGTTTTGACGTCACCGTCTGCCATCTTGTTTTTCAGTTGCCATGCAACGCCAAGTTACGACGACAAATAATTTTCCATTCAAATGTGATTTCCTGCGTTATTTTCGGTTCGAAAATTGAATAAAAACATTGAATAATTCAGGCGTCCACGAATTTTTGAATGCTGCCCTATTTGGCGAGGAAAATATGGGTACATTTACGTAGTGAAGTGTTGTAACGTCACTTTTACAATTTTCTATTTGTCTGTACAAAGTAGTTCACATTGGGTCTCAGAAATGGGTGATCTTTGACCAGG